ACAACCGTTTCTCAACGTAATAGAAGTCATTTTAGCAATTTAATTAATGTCCTTAAATTGAATTCACAAACATCATGCATGCAGTCGTAGTGTTACCTACAACATACTGTAAAGTAAAGCACTTTATAGATGTCATAAGATAAAATATTAGAAAGAATAAGCAAACAAATCATATTGTAATAAAAAACGACTGCAACATGAATCTTGAAGGTTTTATGAATGTATAATAAAGAAACCATAAAAAAAAACCAGCACCGGGAAACAAAAGTTTTCAAACTGAAAACCAAGATGTTAAAATAGCATAATGAGAAATAAAAAGTAGTCTATGATTATGTAAATCCACTCCAAAGAACCATTCGAAATTAAGCACGAAACCTTAAGTCACACATCTTTTTCCACCTTTACCTTCAACAATTCTTTTCTTGGACCAGCTGGGGATGTCTTTGGAGTTTTTGATGATGAAAATTTTTCATTAGACTCCAATTCAAAAACTTCTTGCAGATTTCTCTTTAAAACTGGTGTTGTTGTTGTTGAAATCTTCAATGGACTCGTTGCCGAGTTTTTGTCCAAAGTGTTGGGAGTTATGTTATCATCCGTAGCAGAAATTGCATCCTAAAAAGACAATTATATAAAATTCTTTCCTAAAATGAAGTACAATTTTATACTATATTCGATATTTTAACATGTATAGTACCTTTAAAGTCTTGTTGTCATGAGATTAAAAATCAGATGAATTGTAGTCTAATGACTGTGAATTATCTGCCTGTATAAGAAAATAAGTAGCAAAATAAATTATTTATTAAATACTTCATGGTCAGCTAAATAACATAAAACAAAACATAAGTAATGTATTTACTTGAGAAGAATTCAATTTATCTTCAAGTTGTTCAATTAAACTCTCATCATCAGTAATTCTAGCAATACCATATTGGTTGGTTTTTTTGGACACATTGAATATGTTTGAAGAAATCTTAAAGGCAAATTTCAACCCTTTCAATGCATTCATCTCCACTGGATACAAATCAACATTGTCTCCATTCTGCAGTTATGCAACATTATCAAACATGTATGTTAAAGTGAAAACAAATACAAAATTTACAACATTTTATATAATAAGTTGAAATGACCTTGGCTGCGTTGTTAAAAACTCTTTGGCTGATTTCTTCAACAAATACCTTCCTTTTCTTTCAAACAGAGTTAAGGTGATAGTGCCAGTGTTATCTTGAACACGGATTGGAATCTTATATCTAAGAAATTAAGAAATTATATTAATATATATTTGGTATTAGATATTATTTAAAGATTTTTATGGACAGTACGAACCTTGGAACCACAGATGTTGTAGTTTTTGTGCAATCTCCGTTATGACATTCATAAGATTTAGCTGTTCCATCTACTTGATCATTGTTAGGGACTGCTTTGCTACTGCAGTTGGTACACGCTTGATAGAACCATTTTTCATTTTGTAATATTCCTTTTATAGTGCCCACAAGAATGAATGTACATATCTGGATAAAAAAGTAACTTTGTCAAAAAAATTATGCAAAACAAAAAAAGTATATTAATAAATATACCATCACATATATCTCCACGGGCTCCCAAACTTCAGAAATAGTCTTCAGCTTATTTTTAACCATGAAATCATCATATTCAGAAACTTGGTTAGCAGGAATAAGTGAAAAAGTATGTGAAGAGGAATCAGGACGATCATCCCTTTGTAACCTGTTTTTTTTATGCAAATCATAAAATTTTAGAAACATAGGATGTAATGACAAAAACCACACCATATGACATAAATTACCTTTTCTTGAAAACAGAACTTTCATCTATGTCAGAGTTTATGAACAATCTTGAGGATGTATAGTAGGTGTTGACACTTGGGCGATCTATAAAAAAATTATAAATATTATTTAAATATAATTGTCGGTCTATAAAAAAATGTATAAATAATGTTTAACTTATTATAAAATTTTATTTTTCCTGAGAAATTGAGTATACCTCTCCAAACATTAATTTGTGCAAACTGAAGTATAACAATGATTTGAAGATTTTGTGGATTGTCTTGTATATACTTTTGCATCTGGTAAGCATAATCACCCCACAAAACCAAACGTATTTCCAAACCACTGACAATGCAACAGTTAGTAAGTTAATTATATATAAACATCAAAATTTTTAAGTATTAAATATAAATATATTGAAAAACATACTTTTCATTCTGGATATGGATGTGAATTTTGTGTTTGGACTTATCAGTGCTTTCTGTTGCCATTTCACCAACACCAACAACCAATCCAATAACATCTACAATATAAGAAAAATATGAATGAAGTGGTGTTGAGAATATGGAAACATCATATCATATCATATATAAACATTAAATATTGTAAAGTTGAAATTTCATTAAGTAAAAAATGTAATAAATAAACTTACCGAGTGACAAATTTTGAGGATGAACCATTGACAGCACAGATTGAAAATCAACAAAAGAAAAACCAAATTTAGGCCCGCTAAATTGGGTACATTCTTTAACAACTGTTTCCTGCACAAACGTGAGTTTTTGATCTTGGGGAATTAACCTAAAAGTATTAGCCTTCAGAGCTGCAAAGCTTGGAGATGTGATGTAATATGATTTCCCATCTTTTAAAACATTTTTGAATCGATAGAGGAATTTTTTAGGGACAGATGCTTGTATTTTGCTCCCCTAAAAACACAATATATGATAAGCATTAAACATTAAAACAACATAAATATTTATATTTAACACATAGGTAAAGATATATATAACATACCTGTTCATCGACCAAGATTAATTCAATGGACCATATTTCATTCTTGTTGTAGAAAGACATCTGCTTCCAATCGTTTATAACACGAACCTTGATAATCAAATCATCCCTTGTTACATCCAAGTCAGCTATGAAAGTGATATTTGTTATAGACATATCCCTGCAAATATCAGAATCCATTCTATAAGTTTGATGCCAAACAATTGGTAACTACAAGAGAGTATTAGTGAAATTATCCCTAATAGTATAAAGATGCATAATAGCAAAGATCAATCAATAAACACATAAAGATGCATATATAGCAAAGATCAATCAATAAACACATTCTGATTGAAAAAGGTCAAAATGGTAAAATCGAAGAAAAATATAAAAACTGTATGAAGACATAAAAGCTCTACCAAAATATGAGAATTTGAGTAAAATAGAATAAAAAACAGATGAATATTTAAGCATTGTACTTATGAAAAGTTTTTTTAAATGAATAACTTATGAAAAAACTTGTAACAGATGAATATTCGTTACATAAAAACTGTATGAAAATATGAATATTTTAGTAAGAATTTTAGTGTAGATAATTGTGTTCAAAACATTAAAGTGTGTATATTATGTCAATTCATAACAATCCCAATTTTTGTAAAATTGTTTTTCCGAAAAATTAAAATGATGAGTCAAAAACATAAACATCAGTTTCTTGAGTATAGATAATTCATAAAGAAAGACATGGAAATATAGACAGGGAAATATAGACATGTTAATTAATGATAGCTAAATAAACGATATAAATGAGTTGCAATACATTGAAGTGTGTATATTCTGTCAATTCAAAACAATCCCTATTTTTGTAAAACTGTTTTTCTGAATAATTCAAATGATTAGGCGTAAACATAAACGTCAGGTTCTTGACTATAGATAATTCATAAAGAAAGACTGTGAAATATAGACAGTGAAATATAGACATGTTAAAGAATGTGTGAAATATAATACTCTGTGAAATGAAACACAAACCTTTTATTATTATCATCGATTGTGCTTAGTTTTTCCTGTTCCATGGAAGTCATCACAGCTCACAGAGAATGTCATCAAAGAATGTGTGAAATATAATACTCTGTGAAATATAATACTCTGTAGAATAAAACTGATATATGCATATGCGTTTAAACATTAAAACAACATAAATATTTATATTTAACACATAGGTAAAGATATGTATATAACATACCTGTTCATCGACCAAGATTAATTCAATGGACCATATTTCATTCTTGTTGTAGAAAGACATCTGCTTCCAATGGTTTATAACACGAACCTTGATAATCAAATCATCCCTTGTTACATCCAAGTCAGCTATGAAAGTGATATTTGTTGTAGACATATCCCTGCAAATATCAGAATCCATTCTATAAGTTTGATGCCAAACAATTGGTAACTACAAGAGAGTATTAGTGAAATTATCCCTAATAGTATAAAGATGCATATATAGCAAAGATCAATCAATAAACACATAAAGATGCATATATAGCAAAGATCAATCAATAAACACATTCTGATTGAAAAAGGTCAAAATGGTAAAATCGAAGAAAAATATAAAAACTGTATGAAGACATAAAAGCTCTACCAAAATATGAGAATTTGAGTAAAATAGAATAAAAAACAGATGAATATTTAAGCATTGTACTTATGAAAAGTTTTTTTAAATGAATAACTTATGAAAAAACTTGTAACAGATGAATATTCGTTACATAAAAACTGTATGAAAATATGAATATTTTAGTAAGAATATTAGTGTAGATAATTGTGTTCAAAACATTAAAGTGTGTATATTATGTCAATTCATAACAATCCCAATTTTTATAAAATTGTTTTTCCGAAAAATTAAAATGATGAGTCAAAAACATAAACATCAGTTTCTTGAGTATAGATAATTCATAAAGAAAGATATGGAAATATAGACAGGGAAATATAGACATGTTAATTAATGATAGCTAAATAAACGATATAAATGAGTTGCAATACATTGAAGTGTGTATATTTTGTCAATTCAAAACAATCCCTATTTTTGTAAAACTGTTTTTCTGAATAATTCAAATGATTAGGCGTAAACATAAATGTCAGGTTCTTGACTATAGATAATTCATAAAGAAAGACTGTGAAATATAGACATGTTAAAGAATGTGTGAAATATAATACTCTGTGAAATGAAACACAAACCTTTTATTATTATCATCGATTGTGCTTAGTTTTTCCTGTTCCATGGAAGTCATCACAGCTCACAGAGAATGTCGTCAAAGAATGTGTGAAATATAATACTCTGTGGAATAAAACTGATATATGCATATGCGTTTAATTTGAACCTGATTTTCATGGATTTATTTACGGAATATTTCAATTAGAAGATTGGAAGATAATTTACCAGCATCAATTTGGGATGCTGAATTTAAGGGATACAGGATCGTTATCTTCAATCTTCAATATTGAATAAGGAATTTTGAATTTTAAATTTGGTTTGGATATGGATTGATGAATTGACGGATTGACTGAATGTGTATATGGGCGGGAAAGTGTTTTTGGTTATTGTTTCTTGTAATGCCACGTGGCAGGTTTGCAGTTTAAGAGTCTGGCAAGTGGATTGTATGAGAGTTGTTTATTAGGATTAGAGATTTGAATAAGAATTGTTTTAAAGTGTCCAGCTAAATATTATGTGCTTGTTTAAAGTACAATCATGATTTGTCCGAAAACATGGTATTAATTGGAATGGCCCAAATTTTTTGATCGTAATGTTATAATCCAAGATTTGTAGATGTTCAAAACGAATTAGTTTTGAAATTAAAAAATAATTAACAATAAAGCTTGTTGTAATGTTATAATTCAAGATCTGTAGATGTTCAAAACGAATTAGTATTGAAATTCAAAAATAATTAACATTAAAGATTAAAGCTTGTTGTTTGTTTGCCTTATAATTCTTAGTAACTAAAACCAAAATAAAAACTACAAGGAATTGAAGGTAGAAAATGGAAAGTATTCCATTTCTTTTGTTTGGTAAATATTTAAAATGAGAGAAAGAGAAATATATTAATTTCATTTCCAACCATTCAATTCTTCATTTTTTTATAAAGAAATTGTGAGAAAAGAAAATATTAAGCTTATTGAGAGGAAAAAAAAAGAATAGCAGAGAATTGGTTCTATCACTGCTTCACAATAAATAGAGGACAAAACTATAAAAATGGTCTCTGTATCCATTTTTTCGGGATTTTAGTCTAAACCTCGATTTTTAAAATTTTTTTTTTACTTCGTGTTCCTTTTGGCATCGTAGTTATTTTGTCTATGTTTCTCTGCGAAAATAGTCAATTCGAAAATTAAAATGATTATTATACCATTTTATTTTTATTTTACTTTTTTTAATGTCTATTTTAATATTTTACTAATTAGAACAATAGAAGGGACCCACACACATCTCAGTCTGATAAACTGCTTGTCCAACAGTTTCTGAAACTGAGAGGACAACTCCTGTATCTCAGGCAGTGCTAAGTGATACGATGCCTTAGCAATCGGGGCCGCGCCAGGAACCAAATCAATCCTTGATCCGCAAAGTAGTCGGGATTGGAGTTTGCACCGGTCTCGTAGCGAGCAAGGGTGAATTGGACATCACATGGCCAACCAAATCACAATGATAGCAAATCCTGGTGCTCGGTACTGGGGCCTACTGACGACAATCCCTAGCAATATAACCCTCCTTGCCACATTTGTAGCAACCAAAAGATAACCGAAAAACATCCTATGAACCTTGCCGCACTTGCCATAAGTACGACCCCTCTGTCCCCCAGACCGTGAATCAGTGGGCTTAAATTGCTTCGCTGCAAGCTGCGACTGAACGCGAGCCTGCCTATGATCCCTCGTCTGTGTCTCAATCTCAATCTCCCGTCTCCAATCGGTATCCTGAAGCTCGGAGAGGGTACTATAAGGCTGGGTAGACACAAACTGTCGAATGACAGTCTTGAGAATGCTCAAGTATCGCATCATCTGAGCCTGCTCCGTAGCAGCAAACTTAGGACAGAGAAGAGCCCTCTCAGTAAACATCTTGGTTATCTCCGTCACCGTCTCCATCGTATGGCTCAAATCCAAGTACTCCTGAGCCAATCTCTCCCTCTCTACCACGAGAACATACCTCGTGCGGAACATCTTCGAGAACTGCTCCTAGGTAACAACAGTCCTCTACTTAGGAGTGTGGGAACCGGTTACCAGGTTTTACCAGTCCCTCGCGCCTAGTCGAAGAAGGTTCAGGGCACACCTGACCTTCCAGTCCTCCGGACGGGAATATGTGAAGAAACAACCCTCCACATCAGAAATCCATCTCATGGCCATGATCGGGTCCTTGACCCTGTCAAACTCTAGGGGCTTTTTGTTGCTGAAGTCATGATACTGAAATGATCATCTCCCCTGAACCCCCACAACAGCAACAACTGTGGTAGCTTTAACAACAATAACCTCAGCCACGACGGCATACCGCTCATCAAACAACTCAATCATCGCGGTCTTGATAGACCCAAAAACCTCGGGGATGGCACCCCAAACAGTACCAGCAAACTCAGTAGCGATCAACTCGCGAATGTCATCATCAGACAATCCTAGCTTCTCCAGGCCGCTAGCTCATGAACTAGATCCTCTCGTGAACAACATATTGAAAAATGAACCAAAAATATATCAGAGATGCCACAATTCACACTATTTCAATCATTACGGACATACTACACCCTCGGGGTTCTTGACTTCCTTACTACACGTACGGGTCCTGTGCTTTAAGTAGTACGGGCCCATACTACCTTCCACACTCACTCGTATTTGTCTCGATAGATCATCAAAAATTACCCAAAAACAAACCCAACAACTAGGATACACATACATCCTATACTCACTCTCTCTCGAGAGGCTAATCATCCCTCAAGCTGGCCTGCTACAATCACCACCCACTTATGAAATGTAACACCGTAAATTTTCAAACCAAAATTTTCATTTTAAAACACAATAAAACACATGTCACATTTTCTCAAAAATCACAAGTATCAATTTAACAAAACATTTCAAAAACTGTTTATCAAAAATCCAGGATCCTCCAAAAACATATCTCCAACTCAGATGTGTGTACAATCAAGCCGGTGCCTTCCCGCGATCCTGAGAAGTACCTGAAACACATAACACATGACATGGTAAACACGAAGCTTTGTGAGTTCCCCAAAATACCACACACAACTCATTAGCCACTCGAGGCTATACTCGGTAAGATCCTCTGGTCAATGTATCTCAGTGGGACCCTCTGATCCCACAACTCGAGTGGACCCTCCGGTCCTAACTCAAATGGACCCTCCGGTCCTAACTCAGTAAGCTCAGAATAATACACAACATAAATCATATAGACATAATGCAAAATATCACAATACTCAATATAAACACATAAGACCCTCCGTTCAAACAACTCAGATTACCACTCTAGGTAAGTATAGTGAGAAGAATCACCTCGTAAGCTAGCAAGTAACAATCTCGTACACGGAAATCTCGAATTAGCCTCCGCCTAACACATAGGATAATTATCTCTAATTAATACTCTATTCATACTCAAAATATACCAAAGGTCGCTCTCTCTCTCTCTCTAACTCTTGGAATGGGTAAAAGACCATTTTACCCCTCCATGGTCTCCATTACTCATGTTGACCAAATCCTAAAGTCAACAGAAGTCAAACTCGAGTCAACAGTCCATGTTTGACCCGACTCGCCGAGTGCATCCATGTGACTCGTCGAGTCCACTCGTTTCCTAAGAAGTCCTGTGAAGGTCCAACTCAACTCGTCTAGTTGACCCCCAACTCGCCGAGCTATCGTATGATCAAGCTCATTGGGACAAACCCTAACCGACTTGTCGAGTCGGCTCATCGACTCGACGAGTCCATTCAAACTCATATTTCATTCAGACGATTTCGAGGCAGAAAACCTTTCCAAATTTTAGATCCAACTTCCCAAGGCTCGATTATCACGTAAAGCCACAAGCTTTACATCCATGCATGGCACTTAGGGCTTGAAATGCCAAGAACATGCTCTATAGAGGGTTTTCCACTCAAAAGCTCTATTATGGCTGAATAAAGCAGGGACCTTTGGACTCTAGGGACCTCACAAGGTCCAGATCTGAAGTCCAAATCTTTAAATGAACCCAATTCACTCAAAGTCCCAATATTAGATGGAAAAAGCCCTAAACTCCATAAACATGAGATCTACCCAACAAAATGAGAAAGGTGTGGACTTTTTACCTTTCATAGAAGCTCTTGGATGAAATAGAAATAGATCTAGCAGTCTCTTCTCGTTTCTTGGCTTGAATCCTTCCCTTCTCTTCAAAAGATGCACCAAAAACACTCA